GTTAATAATAATTTTTTAAAAGGCAAAATGCATAATTAAAACTCGAACAAAATAACAAAAACAAAGAATTGTTTTCCTTAAAAAAACAATAAAAGAAAAGGATATGGAGAAACTCAATCCCATACATAATAAAGAATCATAAAATTCGCACATCACATCCACCACACTTGAATAATGTGGGAAATGTATTTGTCTTTTTACAGAACATCACATCCAGTGGGAGAGCAAATTAAAGATCCTGAGGTGAGGGGTTAAAAATTTTAAAACTGTCATATATTAAAAACTTTAAACACAAGGGGAAAGAGCTTGCAATCCTAATAAATACAATATTATTTTAGAATAATTACGATTAATATATATTAACAAAGTTAGTTGTTTATTATAGAATATCAAAATTGCCCTCCATAGAAGTAGTTAATTAAGGGAATTTGGTTAATTGGTTAGTAAGTTTTTATAACAAGGATGGGAGATAGTGAATATATGTAATGTGGGGGATTGGGTCCAGAATTATAAAAATGAAATCATAATAAATAAGGACGGCCATGGTCTGTTCAGATTAAGAAGAGCCATATATTGTGCGCGCGCATGTGTCTTCATGTCTTCATGTATGTATGTATATACTACTTCCGATTCTTAATATAAGAACTAATTAACTAATTTGAATATATTAAAAAAAATAATTAAATTAGTTATTTGTAATAAATAAATCTTGTCTTTCCTAAAATATTCTTACTAATCAAGTATACGTATTGGTTAGAACTACCATTACTACAAAGATTACTTTAAAAAAAATAGATAAATATAAAAAAACAAAGTGAATTAGGGTCTATATTTAATTAGGACTATAATAAAAATAAAAAAAACTCTTATATTAAGAATATAAAGTAGCATATAAAAGGTTGCTAAAATTAGTGAGTTGGATGCATGAGAATGGATGCTTGTGTCCTCTAACTGACTCCAATGAGATCACAGTCGTCATACGTTACCATAAATTAATGGGAAGAGGTCAAACCGTTGCAAATACTGCATTCACACTGCCACCATTAATCACACTCAGCTCATCCATCTACACTTTTCCGCATTTTCAGTTTCTTTCATCTCATCATTCCCCACTTTCGGCATTCCAACTCTTTACAGTCAATAGAAATATTTTGGGACAAGAAAAATTATAAATTTTGGAGACAAATAAAGTGCATTCAGATTTTATATTTAGAATCGAATTCAACTCTCAGTTAGCTCTTATATTAAGAACAGTAGGTAATATTATACTCAGGGTTAAGCTTCGTTCAGAGCCCTAAAATATAAAGGGTTAAAGTCATCAGGTGGTGACTTTCTCAGATTTATATTTTCTGAATTTTACTAGATTCTTTTTATCTTTAAGAGTTTGGACTGAATTTGTCAAGGAAAACTGACAATTTAATTCAAGAAGAGAAATTGATAATCTAGTCCGGTGAGATATTTTCACAAGTCCTCTTCTAAAATTTAACGTATATGTGCGTGCGCGCGTGTGTAATTCAACAAGTGGCCGCCCACACTGAATTTCGTTATCAGTCGCCGACTAATGACGTGTGTGTTGAGTCCGCCGCGAAGTTGTTGTCAACCACAAAAACATAACTGACGCCAAAAGTAACCATCCTCCTTCTTTCAAGATATCACCAATTAATTCATATGGCCTTCCTTCTTCAAGCAAAATTAGTTAATTAAATTAAGTCTTTTTCTCCCTGGAGGCCAGGATATCGTTTCCATAATATATATATATATATAATCCTATATATGTGTGGTTCTGCTGTATTTTTCCAACTAACTTTAGATTAGATTACCAAGTGATTAGTATTTGTAATACAAGTGGCTCATCATGAGCTAACTTTTCCAATCACAACGACTTGTCGTTTAATTATACTGGAATACTCTACATCCTAATAGTAACTGGACACTAAATCTGAAGGAAAACTTCAGACGCACGTGATGATCTTCGTATCAAAAGAGGCTAATTTTTCTACGAGAGCATAACTCTGAATTTTAAGGATTCATTAAAATCATCTAGCGTCAACGATACTTGCAATCTTGTTAAAATAATTTTACCATTCAGATATTTTCTGACCAATGGGGCTCAAAAGGGTTTTTTAAAAGTACTTTCATACAAGTTGAGATAAAACTCATCTCACATACTTATTTTGTATATCATAAAATCGCTTTAAAAATTATGATTTGGTTTCTACCTAGACACCTTTCAAAAAAAGATTTAACTGGAATATACAGTTAGCATTCCAAGTGTTGAATGCTACTAGACTGGATTGGGTCTGTGGTCCATGTGCTTAGAAGCCCAATGCCTTTTCTATACTTGGATCTTTGAGCATTATTGGACTTCGAGGATGTTTTTTTGTTTTATTTTTGATTGAGACTTCGATGCCCTTAAAATTTATGATTCTCAGGCCCAAAAAAACCGGGTATACAAACACTTTGTTTTTTTTTAAAAATTTCATTATTATTTTTTTACTTAAAAGTACCATGCATATTTTCAAACTACAAAAGGAAAGAAGGCAGGACTTTGTTTATAATAATGTATATGCACGTCAATGCACTGTATAAAGTTAAGGGGAAGAAAGGTAGTCCACATGGGATTCAATTCAAGCCAAGTGAGAATTAGAAGATTGATACTACCTCCAATCCTTAATGTAAGAGTTAGTTAACTAATTTGAGTAGATTAAAAAAGTTTCTTAAGTTAATTATTTGTAATAAATATGTATTATTTTTCCTAGAATATTTTTGCTAATCAAGTATATTAGCTAAAACTACCATTATTACAAGGACCATCTTTAAAAAAAGTAGATAAATATGAGAGATAAAATAGATTAGGGTCTTATATTTAGAATCAAAATAAAAGTCAAACAAGCTTTTATATTAAGGACTGATAATACTACCTCTGATCCTTAATATACAGGGCAGTTAATTAATTTGAGTAGATTAAGAAAGTTTATTGAGTTAGTTATTTGTAATAATTAGGAGTTGTTTTCTCTAAAATACCCTTGCTAATCATCATGTGTAATAACAAGAACTACTATTTGATTGAACTTTTAACATGTACAACTACTATAAGAATTACCTTGGGAAAAATAGATAAATATGAGAGGTAATACTTCCATATTGAGGTCTTATATTTAGGACCAAATTGTCAAACTAGTTCTTGTATTAAGAACAGGAGGTAATAATTCCATATAATTTGGCTCTCTGTGTGTGTGTATATATTTATCACTGATATAACTAAATTTTTATATATTTTATCCCACATTAATCTAGGATTTAAATAATAATTTTGAGCTTAAATAGATCTTTTATGCATTATTGGATTAATTGATTGATTTTTGGATTTTTCATTAAAAAAAAAGAGATTTTGGATTAAAAATATGAATATTTTGTGATTTCTTATATTTGGCTTGAAATTAATACTTTCTATTTCTGTGAAGTCAATTCTCATATTTCTTGAAAGTTGATTTTTGGAAAGTTTTTCAACTCCTTGCCTTATTTTTGGTACATATCTAATCTTTAATTTTGGCATAGATTATGTTATATTTGAATATAATCTATATTAATAGATGTACTTAAATTCTTGTAGGTCAAGAAAGAGTAAAAGAGAAAATCCAAAGGTACAAAATTATTTTTTAGAGTTTAAGCACAATCCAATAGCTAATTTTAAATGGGCTTTATTCTTATATCTAAAATCCCCTCTTGTTCCTATAAAAAGAAGCATTCTCTCATAAGAAGGGGCAGCTACCTCCCTCTCCACTCATCAATTTTCATTCTGTTTATTCACTTATTATTATTCTCCATTATTTCATGAGTTTCACGCCATCTATGGGAGCTTAAGCTTGCTTGGGAGATAATTTGGGAGGAGTGTGGAGGAAACTGGAACCTCTTGGGCTAGCACTTGAAAATCACAAGGGAGTGATGTTCTATTTATCTTTTTTATTCAAAGACTTGAGATTATTTAGTTTTAAATGATTTTAGGTTGTATTTTTGTGAGACAATTTAGTTTTAGATTGTCATTTTTATTCTTATATTAAATTGATATTTGAATTATATTTTGTGTTGAGATACTTGCTGGAATTTATGTTTATAAACCTTTGCATTGTTAATTGAATTTATAATTGAGTTTTCATTATGGATTTAATTATCAAGTGGCTTGAATTGCAATTTTGGGTTCTTTTGCCTTTTGATTGTTTAATTGAGTTGGTAAATTATCTAATTGTTTGATTGGATAATTATAAGCATGATTTTCAGAATAAATTTGAATTATTCATCATTGGTTTTAATGAGTTTAATTAACCAACCTTGTACCGTTATGAGTTCTTAATGATTTAAGGGTTTTTGAAATTGAGGATTCCTTTTGTTTCAAGTAGGTAATTAGACTTATTAATTCAACTTTCTTATCACTTCCCTTTGGTCTAATTAATTGATTTAGGTTATGGAGGTTAAATCCATATGAATCCTAAGTTGCTCCTTCCACCGTACCTGAAGAGAAACATCTCACTTTTACTTGTTAATTTTCCTTACTTTCTATTTAATTTTTTTTATTTATCATTTTAATTTTTCCTTCTAAAAAAAATTCCCCCAAAAAATTGCATTTGTATTCATTTAGTTTAATTTAATTTTCATATAGATTTTAGGACATTTGCATCTTATTTAAAATTAGAATTTTGCATTTTGGTTTAGGTTCATTTTATTTCATTTTTCATCATCTAAATTTTTATCTAATGAGACCCATACTTGCTCCTTGAAAGTAATGACTTAGGTTAATCATAAACTACAAATTAATTGGGACTTGGTTTAATTGAGTGCTTTAAGGACAAAGGCATTATCAACCACAATGTACGTATTATTTGCCACCAAATATGTACAGGTTTATTGTGTTTATATACAATCAAGTATTATTTGTGCAAACACGTACAACACATGCATGTTCTATATATGTACAGAGCTACAAAGAAGAGTTGTTTTTATTTTCAGATGGCGGAGTGCTGGGGCTTGAGCATAGTCCATTGATGAAGAATGTTGGCGGAGACGTCGTAGAATACGAGGTGGGCATGAGTCGGATTCACTTGTGCCGACATGAAACCTTGTCCATCGTACACGAATCTCACTATGTCCTGATCACTGCTTTCCTTCACATCTCCCCTCCACGCCTTCGACCCTGCCCCACTCGTTAAATACTCTATTGCACTGCATCCATCCATCCATTCATCAGTTTCATATCATCCATTAAATTCATGCTGTTTGATGATGAAATATATATAATCAGACTTTCAAAACCCTAACTAGGTTTTCGAAACAACAATAATGAATGATGATCTCTTGTCGGTTTTATATACCTATCCGCACTGCTTATATGTTCCAGACAGTGGTCGTGCCCATTCATGTACATATCAACGCCGTAGGCCTGCACCATATATAAATTAATTAATGCAGCCTTCAAATTATAAGATTCTACTTGTTAATTACTACCTCCGATCCTATTTATAAACCCTCGTAGACTATAAACATGGTACTACCTCCGGTCCTAATTATAAGACCTAGTTGACTAATTTGAGGAGATTAAAGAAGTAAGTTAAGTTAGTTATTTGTAATAAATAAGTGTTATTATTTCTAAAATATCCTTGCTAATTAAGTATATTGGTTAAAACTATCATTATTAGAATGACTATCTTGAAAAAAATGCATAAATATGAGAGATAAAATGGATTGGGTTCTTATAATTAGGACCAAACTAAAAATCAAACGGGGTCTTATATTGAGGAACAGAGGTAGTATTATAATTAGAACCAAAGATAGTAATTAATTAACACCTACGTCACAGACCTTGAGCAATGGATCCAGATACTTGACAAGCTCAAGAGTGTCACCGTGATGGCCAACACTTCTTATCGCGTGGTGACCCACCACGAATTTCCATGTTGCATTCGAACTCCTCAACGCCTCTTCTAACTCCTGTATGTACGTGTGTATGTATATATCTCACAGTTATGAATATATATTATGAATTAAAGCAAATTAATTAATGAATCATAGTTATAGGTACCTTAAGAAGGGTGGAGACATAAGCTTGCCTGGGAGACACGCCTCGCCAATCATAAGAATGATCTGTTTCAGTGAAATAGCTTTCCACAAACGGAGTCGTGTCAATAAAGAACATGTCAGCAATTCCTGTGCGTACAAGCAGTTCCAGTTATACATATGTCATCCACCAAAGCTTCTCCAGATTTATATACAACGTATACTTGGATCGATATATAAGTATATATATAGACAGAAACCTGCTTGAAGAATGAAGGATCTGAGGCAGATCCATCTTCGGTCAATTTTCCTCAACAATGGACTCAATTGTGCCAATGCGTCGCCCCTATAGTCATGATTTCCTAGAACTGTAATTTTATTAGACTCATCAGATGCAGAACCAGAAACGAGAGAGAGAGAGAGAGAGAGAGAGAGAGATTATATTAAAGCAAGTTATTAATTACCTGAGTACCATGACTTCTGGAGGCTCTTGGCAGTGTAAATGTCAGTAAATGATTGCACAAAAGCAGGATCAGTCACGTTCTTTAAACCATCGTCGTAGATATTATCTCCCGTCGACACCACGAAATCTATGTCCAGTTTCTCTCCTATCCTACCCATCTGTTTATTACCACGTACGATTCAAATGGACTAGTTACAGCATTAATCGTTCTTATTATGTCCGGTTAAAAAAAGAAAGAAAGAAGAGATTAGTTAGTTAAAAACCTCGGTGGCAACAAGGGATTGATTATATTCTCCTCTTCTTCCCCAGTCTCCAATGACCAGAAACTTGAGCGTTTCGTTACGTTTTGGATGATGGTGAAGCCTCTGAAGGCGTGCACCCACAGGCATCGCAAAACCTGCCAAGAACAAGAAAGCCGCTAATAAACGAACGTGAAGTAGTGCTGCCGGGAACGTCATGGCTACCTAATCAATAATGATTATCTCCGTTGTTAATTTCTCAGAGGGGTTAATATAAATGAAAGAGGTTTAGTGTAAGAGAAGGAGATTAATTAGGTAGCTTAACTTGTCAACGGATATGGAGGTATCTGCAATGGGAACATCACGTTTTGAGGAAACTGCTATTTATGGGGATTTCATAAGTTGGTGATCAACAAGATCCTTGCCCTAAATATTCTCTAAAAATTGTAGGCTCATTTGACTAATGCATGTTAAATATAGTAATTAAGCATGTGTTCAGTTCTGAATGGTGACTTTAATTATTACCAAAGTTTTTTCACCATCCCCGATCAAACCTGCGTATCCTCATTGTTGAAGTTATTATTAATTAACTACTTCATCTTCAGGTTGTCCTCCCATTTATCTTCTCCCTAGTAAAATTTAAAAAAATAATGGAAATAATATATTTATAAATCTTTAGGAAGCTATATTCTCAGTCATCAATATTAATAATGTGCCATTAAGCATGAACCCATAATACACGTATATGAGGTTTTCAACAACAAGATATAGACATGTTCGGGTTAGTATTTAAAAATATTAATAAGCACGTTTCAAATAAGTCGAGACAAAACTCTTTCCACATACTTACTTTGTATTTGTTAATTATGATTGAAAAACTACTTCTAAACTATTCCAAACGGGCTCATAAATATGTGTATGTGTGGGTTTGTGTGAATTAAAAAAAAAAAAACTCATAAAAATACCCTATCACCATTACCAATTGTGACCTTTCAGACATGTTCCCATGTTATGAAAACTATAGCTGTAAGGAACAGGGGACTGTTGTCTCTCTGGAGAAATTCTTACATACACTGGGAGTGTCACATCATTCCAACTCTGTCCAATCAAAACACTGTAACTCAGTTTATTTTTATCCTTGCTGGTACCCTGACTTGGCTAAAGCAATTTCTATATAATTTTTAATTTGAGAAAAATAAACCTCAAATTGACAAATGAAAAAACAAAACACACAGAATATTTTCATTTTCCCACGCCCATACTTCGACTGGAGAGATTGAAAGACTTGAACAGTTGTGCCCTAAGTGAGGTGGGAGAAATCAAAAGCGTTCAAGGAGCGTGCCCTACCCTAGCTTTGGAAGACCTTGCTACATCTTCTTTGTGAGCAGAGAGTTATGCCGGTAGCGAAAGATCGTATCATCAACAGAAAATCGTGTCACTAGTAGAGAGCCTTCCATCATGCCCCATTTTGCTTTTTCTTCTCCAAACTTTGTGTTGGGCAAAGAAGGTTTGATTCGTACTTGAGAAAGATTGTAGATTTTCTTAGTTCATGGAAGAAATGTGTTATTTGTGATAAGTTTTTTTTGTCTCCTGTTTCACCCTTTGTATTTGATCTATCATTGCTGCTCGAGGTTGGTATAATCCTTCTCTGTATTATTTTTCTAAACACTGAAAAGTTTCTGCATTTAGATTCAGTGATTTAGATCAAGTTTGATTCAGTTTCTGCATATTAAGGGAGCTATCTATCTTTTTATATTTGATCCCAAGTTTACTCTGTTTGTAGTCTATCCCAAATTAGCTAATGATGAAATAGTTTATTCTTAATGTAAATGAAAGCTTCTTGTGTTTCTGGTATTATATCAAGCCGTGAGGAACTGAAACTAACATTTGTAAACTCTCAAATATGAATTTGTTGCTTAATGTAGATATTCATTGGTTTGATTTTGAGCATTGTGGCTTGTAAACTATTGACCAACATTTGGAAATTGCCATACTGTGTGATTTTCATTTATAATTTTAGTTTTGTATTTTTATTTATTAATTATCATCATCATCATCATCATCATCATATATTATTTTTATAAAGGTGTTTAATTAACTTTGATATTGCATAGAATGGAAATAGCTAATCAACTAGAGTCAGATATTTACTTGGGGCAAATTGTAAATAATGAAGATGAGGCATATGCTTTGTACACAGAATATGCATATCAGTTGGGTTTTTCAGTTAGAAAATGGAAACAAACATATGTTACTGGAACTAAGAAGATTCATACAAAAGAATGTGTGTTCAAAACAAGGAACTAAATATTTGAATGAAGATAGTAGCACTTCATTTACTAAAATGAATGCAAGGACAAATTGCGAAGCTATATGGTTTGGTTTACTATTAAAGTGGATGGGTTATGGCAACTAACTAAATTGATTATTGAACATAATCATGAACTTGTAAAACAAGAGCATAGGTACCTTATGCGTTCTACTAGGAATATTCCTAGTGCTGAAGGTGACCCCATTAATTCCATGGTGACTACTACAATTAGAATGAAGGATGTGTGGAGTTATTTAAGTGAAGAAACACATGGATTTGATAATATTGGATTTTCCAAAAAAGATTGTTATAATTATGTCAACAAGCAAAAGTTGAAACTAATAGAAGCTAAGGATGGAAAAAGTTTCGTTAATCTCTTACAAAGTCATCAGGATGAAGATCCAATATTTTATTACAGTGTTCAATTTGATGAAGAATTACATTTGACAAATGTTTTCTAGAGGGATTGGAGATCAACAATTGATTATGATTGTTCTCGGGATGTAGTGGTTTTTGACACAACTTATCGTACAAATAAGTATGATTTAATTTGTGGACCTTTTGTTGGAATAAATCATCATTGGTAAAATATAATGTTTGGTTGTGCTTTTTTGATGAATGAATCAACAGAGTCGTTTGAATGGTTGTTTGATCAATTTTTAAAATCTATGGGAAATCGACCCCCACAAACTATTGTCATTGGTCAAGATGCTGCTATGGCTAAAGTGATTGAAAAGATATTTCCTAATACAAGGCATCGCTTATGCTTGTGGCATATATCTAAAAATGCCCCATCTCACTTGGGTTCTTTGAATTGTGATAGTGATTTTCTGTCATATTTCAAAAGTGTATGAGAATGTGTGGCTCAGAAAAAGAGTTTGAAATCGCGTGGGATGAAATGATTGGGAAATTTGAGCTCAACGACCATAAGTGGTTGAATAGAATGTATACAATTCGGCATAAATGGTCAACTGCATTTGGTAAAGACATATTTTCTGCAAATATAAAATCTTCTCAAAGGAGTGAGAGCAATAACAGTGTTTTGGGAGAAATATCTACAAAAAAAAAAAACCTTCTCTCACAGGGTTCTTCTTAGCTTTTAAAAAGATAGTAGAAAAATGAAGAAGCTCTGAGGGTGAAGAGGATTTTCACAATAGTAAATCCATTCCTTCATGTGCTATCAATAGGAACAAGACTTTATGCCATGCATCAAAGATTTATACTAAAAAAATTTTCAAATTGTTTGAGAGGGAATATTTGGATGGAGTAGGGACTTTATTTAAAGAGATTAAAAGAGAAGGAGACATCTTTTATTATGAGCTGTGGCTGGATGGAAAAGAATCAAAGAGGTGGGATGTGCCATTTAATTCCTCTAATGAGAATGTTACTTGTAGTTGCAAGAAATTGGAATCTATGTTTATTATTTGTTCCCATGCATTGAAAGTTTATAACATTAAGTGTGTAACAAGGGTACTAGATAAATACTTCTTAAAGCGATGGTCAAAAAATGCAAAGTTTACTGATTGTGAGCATAAAGAAAAATATGCAACTAGTAAAGATCTAAAAATTGTGTATCACAATTCTATTATGCGTTCTTTTTATAACCTTGTGTTAGCCTTACAAGATCACAAGCAAACCCAAGATGTCATGTGGGATGTTATCAACAATAGATCTCAACAAGTTCAAGAACATCAACGTGATTTGAATAAAAACAACAACATGGAAAAGAATAAAGAAATCCATGGGTATGCAAAGATAAATACTTCATTTTAAAGCGATGGTCAAAAAATGCAAAGTTTACTGATTGTGAGCATAAAGAAAAATATGCAACTAGTAAAGATCTAAAAATTGTGTATCACAATTCTATTATGCGTTCTTTTTATAACCTTGTGTTAGCCTCACAAGATCACAAGCAAACCCAAGATGTCATGTGGGATGTTATCAACAATAGATCTCAACAAGTTCAAGAACATCAACGTGATTTGAATAAAAACAACAACATGGAAAAGAATAAAGAAATCCATGCCACCATTCAAGATGCATCTTAAGTATGCCAAATTTTCGATCTCCCAAAAGCAAAGCCAAAAAAGGGTGGAAGTGGTAGTAGAAGAAGGGCCATTTTGAAAACAACGAAAATCAAGTAAGATATTAATTTTATAAATCCTTGTATATGCCCATATATGAGTGGTGTGTTTCTAAATTTCAATTTTTTGTAGAAAAACCAAAAAGGAGTGGAAGATGTTGCTTCAACTGCACCAGAGCAAATTTCACATTCCCAAAGCTTTGATTACACATATCCAATGGTTAGTACCTATGCTTACAAGATTAATAAACACTATAATTATTTTTTAATTATTCTTATTGAATATATTTGTTATATTACAAGTCAATACTACTCAAGTTGTTCGGAGTAGTCATTCTATGATCCCACATGCTTTTTATGGTACTTGGAACGTTAGAAGTCCATTTCATATGATTGACACAAGCAACAATTTAAATCAAGTATAAATCAACTAGTTATATTATTTTCATGTCAACATCTTCTTAAAATATGTTAATTAATTATATTATTTTTAATATATTTTAATTCATTTTTAGGAAGCACATTCATCGGCTTGGAGACCACCAACTATGTTTACACAAAACCAATAGTTTGCCTTCAATCCTCTTCAAGTAAAGCAGATGGAAGAAGATTTTTTTTTTTTCAGGCTTTATTTTTGTATATTTTGTGTAAGCTGGCCGATTTTTTGTTCCCAACTATTTTGATGTATAACGAGGTTATATAAACTGGATGGTTTTTTATTCCTAGCTCTTTTAATACAATCATTCCCAATTTTTTTTTAGAGCATTCCCATTTTTTTTCAAATCAATGTAAGCATTTCAGATGGTGAAAAAGAGGCCACCTTGTGTTTAGTTATTACAGAGACTTTATGCTAAAAACATTGTCTAATGGTAAAATACTTAATTTAATTAGCTTCTCCCTTTAGATGATTTATCTATTATGTTTTATTTGCAAGTATTCAGTAGGTACATATTTGTAAGTTGCTTAGATTTGGAACAATCAAAGAGATGAAATTTTCGAGCCTATATAAAAAAATTATCATGTGTAAAGTTAATTTCTTGCCTAAATTTTTCTCAATGTCCAAATCTAGTTCAACCCATTCATTCAAACACATCCATGAGTTGCCATACACAAAATCTGTGACATTCTAGCTCTAGTACCAAGATGGCTACTAGATTTTCCTCCCCACAGTTCATACGAGAATTGCAATAAATTAATTAAGGAGAGGACAAATGGTGAGTAGTAGCATTGAGGAAAATAGGAATGTATTGCAACATCTATTCTCATTGCAATTACATGGAAATATGATACAAGCCATAATATTTTCGATTATAGAAATACAACAGTGTCTTCTCATATGTCAAATCAAATTTGCTACTCCAGAGTGCAGAACTTGAAGCTGCTGTTGCTACCACCAAATTTGTTGTCAAATAATCCAAAAAGATGAAAAAAATTCTCAAAACTACTCCACTTTCACCGTCTTCAGATACAATGGATTACAATAACCTACAAAACAACTATTATATCCCTAACTTTACACCTAACTAGAAGATATCAGGTCAACATGATGTCTTGAGACTAGCTGCGTATGTGCATATTGTTACAAAAATAGTTTGATGGCAAATGAATGTTTTATCTCAGTCAAGTGACTTTACAAGGTGCCCAACTTTCTGCTTGTGCCTGGTACAATTAGAAACAAATCTGAACGAAAGGCCACATCCCTCAACCTTGCAAGGATAGCTATATTTCTGATGACAAAAATATTCCTTCTGTTCTGTTTATAGAGCCAAATAAAAGAAGCCAATTTAAATTTTTAAGGATTGATACAGCATGATTGAGTATGGCAAAATAATATTAGAAAATTTCAAATATATATGTATTTAAGATTGTTTGAATAACTTCAGGCCAAAAAAGAATGACCAAATAACTATAGTGCTAAGTAACAACAAATGAAATATTCCTTTTCTCTTTCAAAGAAATGCACTTATGTTTCAACATAGTCATGATAATGCAACCAAAATAGCTAGCAATAAATGCTAAAGCTCAAGTTTATCAACTGAAATATAAAGTTGGAAATAATGAACATATCACAAAATAATTGCATCAAAGCACATATCAGTTGGGTTTCTTTGAAATATAAAGTTGGAAATAATGAATTTATCACAAAAAAATTGTTCCAAAGCATAGGCCCATGAATTGGAGAAATTATGAATAAACATAAAACTCAAAAACCTCAAAAATCTAGTTTTAGATCTAGCCTTAAAATCGCTGCCTCTTCTATCAATCAAACTTGAAACTAAAATTTTTGTAGGGTTGTTGATGAGGAAGCGACGTCGAAGGAGGAGAAAACAAAACTTACAAGTTGTCGTTATGAGAAAGGATGAGAGTGGTTGTGGTTCTCATGGTTTTGGTTGAGCATCTAGTCACTGACTACAGGGGAATTGCCGCTGCCACTGCCGCCGCCTGTGGTTATGAGAAAGGATAAGAGGTGTTTCCTTCTCATGGTTCTAGTCGAGTATCTAGTAACCAGCCATAAGCTGTAGAAGAGAGGGCAAAGGGGTTAGGGACGAGCTCCTCTACAATGAAATCCATTTCCCTCTTCAATTTCATTTTGGGTGTCCTTTTTCATTTTAAAAAGTTTAATTTTTTTTCTTTTTTTGTTTTTCATAAATTAGTCAATCTGCCAGTTAGAATTATAAGTGTTTTTAAAGGGGAGCTAGCAACCAAGTCAGGGTGCCAGCAAGGATAAAAGCAAGCTGAGTTACTATGATTTGATTGGACAGAGTTGGGATGATGTGACACTCCCAGTATATGTAACAATCTCTCCTCTCTTTGATGTTCAAGGATATGCTCTCTTACTATTAGTCTATAACATATGCCAAAATTCTAATTTCTATCTCATTTTTATTTCACATGTTCCTGCATCACATATTGTTCAAAATATGTTTATTAAATTTTTCTACCATAGCTAATTTTGTACTATCTTAATGTTATGAATTTTTTTTTGGGGCAACCAAAATGATTAAAATATAGATTAATCAAATAGAATTAATTCACGGATAGAAAAATATCAACAAGCATACAGTACAAGGAAATAAATAGAAAATTATTCAAATTACTTATAAATTTTTAACATCTAAAATTTAGATTAAAAATCAAATAGAATTATGGAGACGAATGATCTAATTCTTTTTCAAAATGAAAAAAATGTTAATCAAGCAATTTTATTTTCCGAAAACCAAAAAACTTGGAAAAGGAGGAACTGGTCCACCTTTTCCCGTTCGCATCCTTCGTACAGCCCCGAACCTGTGACGACCCGATCCACCCCCGCCTTCCTCTCAGGCCAGCCGTGCCCCCCATTCTCTCCGCACCAGATCTGATCCGTCTGTCTTCTTTCTTGTGGTAGGTGGAATCTTGGTTCCACATCGTGTATTTGTTATCTTATTAATTTCCTTTCTTCGTCTTAATTCCTGATTGAGGTTGGCCGGCAAAAAGTTTTCACTTTTTTTTTTTCCCCCTGTTTTTCGGTTACTTAATTGTTGTGTGGACGGGCATGACTATTGGATCAGCATTTGGTGCTTTTTACTGAAGGGATAGCGCTTGTATTTGTTTTCCATGCCTGTGCGTTGATGTCTTAAGCAACTTTTGCTCCATCTATAGGAGTGGCTCTTATTTTCCATACACTTTTGTTGCTTAACTTCTTGCCAATGAAGGAGGGTGTGGAGAACTGAGTTTAAAAGAAAATGAAGGAATTTGAGAGTATGGAAATTCACAGATTCGTCTATTAAGCGCACTTTTATAACACAAATGCAACTTACTAATTTTGCAATTTCAGTGCGTATATCTTCCTGATATATATGATATGGATATATAGACTTAATGCTTCAGTGTTATTTGGTCTTGTTTTCTCCAGAAGTTTAAAATTTAAACTTCAAATTACTTTTAGTTGTATAGATTCCTGTATTGAAAGGAAAGACAACTTGAGTCTTGAAGAGAAAGCATCGAAAAACCTGCTTCAACTTAAGGTGAGAGAAGCGAGGAGGAGGTGAAGTTAAAGAAATGCCAAAGAGGACAACACATACATACTCAAGTGAGGATGCAGCTCCAGAGGGGCCAGATTCTGATCTCTTTGTCTATTACTGCAAGCACTGTGGATCTCATGTTCTCATAACAGGTTATCCCAAAACTTAATTGCTTGTGATTGACGCTCAGTATTTCACCGTTTAAGTGATAAAGTTCAGTTCGTGCACCCATACTATCAAACGCACTGTACAACAATTTTAATGGCAAATATTTTAATATGATATTATTCAAAGTTCAAGCTCCCCTCTGGCCTTCCAAAATCTAAAACTATGTTAATTGAAAGAATTCAATATCCGATCTATGTTAAGTGCGCTGGTTAATGATAATTAATAATTCTACCGGTCTAGTTGAATTGACATAGTATATTGTATCTTGCTAAATAGACAAATTTTTCCTCAGTGCTTTGTGGACTTCTAATCCATCATTCTGGGTTTTTGCTTAAGATATCCTGAGCTGTCTGTTATTTGCAAGAGAAATTATTTCCACTTCCCCCTTGTTGAGTTGGTTAATTATTAATTAATAATAGCTTCTTTTTTTAATCATTATATGGATTGTTGGGGCTTGGTACGTATCAGAGATATATACTGAAATATCTTATACTTGAATTGAGTACAAAGTAGAGGACAACCGAGGTGGACATTCCAAGCTATGAAGTCTTAAGGATGGTACAGTGCAATTCTTGCATGCTTCTATCTTCCAATGCCTGATACTTCCCCAAACGGCTTTCTCCTTGGCAGCATTGTTAGATAACAGATTAACACACATGCGAACACACATTATATGATGGAGAAACCAAATGCACTCATAAAATATAAGCATCCCAAGAAAAGAAGATAAAGGGCTAAAATTTTAGAAGGTATCTCATTACTTGGACAAATACCTGACTGGTCACATAATAAAGCCTTTTTTCCTGCTTATTATGAGCAATTAGACTCTCACCTAGAAAAAAAGGTTCTTAATTTGTGTAAAAGTTAAATGGGAAAAATGAAAAATGCCTCCCCTTTAAGTGTTAAAGTAAATTAGAACTAAATTGACTATTTACTGATGTCCTCAAACTTGTGGACAAGCCATTATCTTTTATCTTAAAACGCCCGTCATAACTTAGTCATTTTCTTTCCTTAAAATTTAAGTCAAAATCTGGGAATTGGAAATTTAGACTTACGTACATTTCATGTCTTTTCATGTTTCCTGGTTTGCTTTATAACCTTCTCCCGGTAGCAATTTTATATAATCTAGAGAAGTTCTTATGCTAAAGCGTATTTGTTATAAGATACCCAATTGCAGAAAATGCCAAAGAGGAAGACCGACAAAGCTTATGTATTGGACAAGAAGAAACATCTTGCCAGACTGAACATAAATGAGGCAGGAAAAGTTCTCTTAAAACGGTATTGATCATTTGACGAGTTTATGGACCTTTCACATTGCGAATTCTTTCCAAAGCTTGGGAAGGCTAGATTTCTATTTTTACTCATTTAAGAAATGTCAAGGTGAATTGGTGAGTTTTTTTATTAAAATTGAAATTGATTTTGTTAAGTTGAGAGTCCAAAATTTATGAATGGGGATGGCAAGAATTCCCGTGTAGGTACAGATCTCGTGAAAGTTCCCAGTATGCAATTCTCTTTATTTCTTATATTTGTTTTATGCAATTACACTTTGTCTGTCTTATACAAGTTTTGAGGAGCTTGCTGCAGATATTCTGATATGTTCTGTCTTTCCTTTACAGTGGTGAAGGTAAATTGGAAAAACAATTTCGGATGAATTGTCTGGGTTGTGGTCTTTTTGTCTGTTATCGTGCAGAAGAAGATCTGGAGAGTGCATCTTTTGTTTATGTGGTTGATGGTGCACTCAGTACTGTTGCGGCTGAAACCAATCCACAGGTGATAGAACACTCGCAATAAATCCTTCTGGCTCCTTATTTTGAATTTTTGCGGAAGAACATTTCATCAATGTTGACAATGCCATATTCAAGGCGTATAATCTATTCAATTCCTGTAGATTTTCTTGCATCATTGCCTGATTTAGATGTTAAACTTTCACTTTTTTAAGTTATGTATTGTGGAAATTGTATATTTGCAGGGTGATTGTATTCAAATATGTTGTGAATTTGAAGTTTTTTCTTAACTTCAGATCTTCTTCCTATGTAATTTTCTGTGATATGTTTTCTCTAGGATGCGCCAGTGCCACCATGTATATCTCAACTAGAAGGAGGGCTTGTGCAGATAGCTATAGAAGTTGAAGATCGTGCACAGCGTTCAGCCATCACAAGTAACCTTTGTTTTTTTTTTATTTTAAAAATCATTTGGTTCAATTTTCTCTTTATTATTTGAATAGTATTTATGATCTTTTATTTTTCAGATTATGGATTGTTCCTCGCAGCTATTTTTTTTTAATTTGGAATTTAGTGGAATCTCTTTATAGATTGAATTGATCTAGGAACTCTCCTGTGGCTATCTGAATTGGGTTAATCTATTACCCTATTCTCTTGTTCATGGATGGATGGCCGCCATTTGATTGATGCATTATGAGTAGGTTGAGATGCCAATTCCAATAGATCACTAGAGTAGTAGACCTAAATAGCAAAATTATGTAAATATAAATTGCAATGAGGCGATTATAGTGTGGAGTCACATTAATTCCTTGGTATAATGGGTTTGTATTAGGTATCAGCTTGAATATGAGCACAGTGAATGATCTCGAGAGGGAAATTTACTTAATTTTGTGGAATTGCCACTAATCGCATTGAGAATTGTTGCTTAAGATCAGTCACGGGATATTTAGGAGTGATAAAGGATTCCGGGCTCCATCGTTTTCTCTTCATAGTTAATCCTTCACTGGACAATTGTTGTCTTGATTTCATGCTGGCAATTTTCTTTTCAATTGATCACTTAGATGGTTCTTTTTGGTAATTGGAACCTTGCCTGAGAGAACAATACTCTCTTTATTGTTAAAGTGATTTATACACTTGTTGAATTAGTGCAACATTTTCTTAAAATATTTATGCTTCAACCAACAACTTTAAAAGTAGCTCAAATTACTTCTATTGCAGCTTCTTCTTGTACCAATCTTATTGAACAACACAAGCATAGAGTTGCAATTTTGTGTGCATTGTGACTCGCATATTTCAAATTGTCAATAAAGCACATGTTTGGAGAAGAGTGAATGCCTTTCAACTGGAATCGCCCACCAAAGTTCATGCTTAAGTAAATCAAGAAGAATATAAGATATTACAAGTAATTCGCCCAAGAATTTGTTCTTGCATGTTTTTGTGTGATTAACGAGTGTGAATCTGTTTTACTAGTTAGTTCCTTGTAAGTCCACACAATTCGTGGGAATTAAAATCATTCTGCCATGTTTGTTAGGAGTGAATGCTGATGATGTTCGAGTCACTGTAGCGGCACCTGCTGCACGCGGAGAAGCTAACAATGAACTTTTGGAATTTATGGGCAAAGTAAATTATTTGTCTGCCTTTGTAAATCAAGAAGAATATAAGATATTACAAGTAATTCGCCCAAGAATTTGTTCTTGCATGTTTTGTGTGATTAACGAGTGTGAATCTGTTTTACTAGTTAGTTCCTTGTAAGTCCACACAATTCGTGGGAATTAAAATCATTCTGCCATGTTTGTTAGGAGTGAATGCTGATGATGTTCGAGTCACTGTAGCGGCACCTGCTGCACGCGGAGAAGCTAACAATGAACTTTTGGAATTTATGGGCAAAGTAAATTTATTTGTCTGCCTTTTGTTTTCTACTCTTTCTCGGTCTCTGCTCCTCTGTTCTTGCTTTGGACTGAAGAATATACATTTTGTTTACAGGTGCTGGGCTTAAGGTTAAGTCAGATGACTCTTCAGAGAGGATGGAACAACAAGTCAAAGCTTCTTGTGGTGAGTTAAATAAGTGTCTTCATTCAAAATGAAGGGATTGCCATAATGTAAATTTGCAGAAATGTTTTCTTTTCCATCAATGCTAGTGCTTAAGTAGTCATATTTAACAAGGAATCTGAATCCTCTCAAGTGAGGGCCTCGCGTAGTATTTGTTTCGAACAAGGCTTTGTCATGTGAGTCCCTTACACGAGGGATATGGATTCAGATGTTTTGAACAAGTGATAAGCGAGCTATATTGATTGCTGTTCTTCAGGTGGAGGATTTGACTGCTAGACAGGTGTATGAGAAACTTTTGGAGGCTGTGCAACCTTGATGGTGTGGTTTGGACCAACGGTCATGCTTTTGGCACACAAGTCATAACCATTCTCACGCATTTGACCTGTGTCGGGAAAAGACTGCATTTTATTTTGCTCATAAACTGGGCTAGCTTGCCCATTTTTGACAATATTACTTGTCGACTGATGCTACCAAATATTAGCACCGTAAGTGTACGGGCCGTGAAAATAGAAAATGGTAAATCAAGATCGATCTCAAGAGAACTCAGTTAATAGTAATTAGGTAATAAAAAAAAATTTCATTTAAGTTGAGAAAATCAAGATTTAATGAAATTGAGTAAAAGGAAATTAAAATAAAAAAAAATAAAGTTTTTTCAAATTACTAGAGCAAATATTAAAAAGACTAACTTAGAATTACCAATCCTTTGCTAGTTTTCTGAATATTGTCCATTGAATTGCTTAGTTTTAATGTTAATTTTGTTAATCTAGAGTTTTAATTAGCTACAAGTGCTTAACAGTATGTTTTATAACCATCATTAAATAAATTATGTATTCTCTCATGTAATTATCTAAGAGGTTAAATAATTTGATCTCACTTATTAACAATTATATGGGACAATGAGCTATGTTTCTATCTTAATTAGAAATTAGATTATCATCTAATCTCATATTATTTAATGAGTTTAATCAAAATCTTTTTTGTCAAGAAAAACTTTAATTCTCAAATTAATAATTAATGTTGGCCAAGTCATCAAATGGATAACAAAGAATAAATTAAGTAATCAAAATTTAACAATTCAGTAAAAATAAAGCGCAATCCACTGATAAAAACACACTAGCCATGCCTGACTTCGAGCAATCTCAATTCAGCAACAACAAATTCGAAACAAGATGACATAATAAAATGGAAGAAGAATATAAACAACGGAATGAATGAACTGGATGATGGAATGATGGAAAACGAATTGAATGCGAACTGAATGAGAAGAGCCCAAGGCTCCAACAATGCAGTCTCTTCCTTCTCTCGCCGGAAGACCGCCTCTGATCTGCTCCTCTTCAGCTACTCCGTCGAGCTTTCTCCGAGAAGGAAAGGAAGAACATCAGCTTGCTCGCCCTCGGTCTCGGTTCACTGGCTCAGTCCGTCGACCTCGTCCATTGGTCCAGAGAAGAAGAGAATGAAGACTGAATGGCCGTCCCTCTAGTCTAGAACCAGCGTCGGCGACCTCTTCTCGTCTTTGATCTCCTCCGCTGAACCTGTCGACCAGAGCCCCCAAACCCGCGGACGAAGAAGATCGAAGGAGATGTTGGACAGTCCGAAAATGCAGCCTCCGTTCCCAGAACTCAACCTCCCTGCCTCCCTCGTTCAGCCGCCTCACTTAACGGTGTCGGCTTCCTTCGCGAGAAGATGATACAGAATAGTCCTCCTCCTCTTGAGTTTCGGCAGCCTTTCTTCCCTCAAATCAGAACCCATCCCTCCTCCTGTGCAAACGGTGTCGTCTATGGATGTCGAATTCCCAAAATTCCATTCCCCCCAGGCCCCAACGGTGCGATCAGTTTCAGCTGAAAGGAGGAAACTGGAAAACTGGAAAGGAAGGAAACTGAAACGAAAATCAAGTAAATAAAACTGTAACAAGATAATAAGATAAAATAAAACAAGATATTTATAAGAAAATCCTCCAAATAATACTCAAAATTAAATCTTCCAATTTAATTTTTAAAAATCTCCCAAAGTACATTTATAACTCTCTAAAAATCACTTGAAATATTCTTGAAATATATTAAAAATAGAGAGTTATTATCGACTTCAGAACATCTAGTCATTCAGATGTCTGGGGACCATTGTTTTTATGTATTTTTAGATTTTTGCAGTAATGTTTCATGTATTTAAGAGAGGTGATCCAAGAAAAATTTTGATTCTATCTTATGCTGATTTTCTTTGTTTCGCTAGAATTCTAATAATGTAATATGAAGCTTGGAAATATTATTGCTTTTTCACAAAGGAAGAAAGAATTAAGTTATGTCAGTCCAATAGCTCATCCCCGCGATCAAGTTACATGTTTGATGCATTCCTTTTTTTATTTGGCATACAAGAGTGCTAAAGCCCAAAAATAAAGAAAACTAAGGACTCGGGAGATTAAATCCCAGCAAATCATTATCACAAATGCTCTCCAAGTGCGCAGGACGCGTGCTGAGCAGGGAAGAAATTGAAAGTCCATCTTTGACAAGTGAATCAGCAAGCATATTGTTTGATGCATTCATCTGCGTAACGAATCCCCTATGGTCGACTGCATGTTGTGCTCTTGCATGGCCCCAAGCAAGCAACTATTGAGAAAGTAGTTCCTGAATCAGCATATTAGCATCCACCTAAAAAATATGCAGGTGTTCAAACACTGCCCAATTTGCTTTATACCAAATCATCGTCTCTATAATCAATAACAACTCTAAGCCATATTGTTCATAATAATTTGTGAACCATGCGACTTATTTTGCAGACTTGATTACACACAAGACTCACACCTAGTTGCTCGTAAGAAAAATATCGTATAATTCTCATTTCTCAATTCCCTATAAGGAATCTAAGGCCCTTGGCCGTTTTTCGGGGGATTGAATGAATTTGATAAATGATGTGACATTAGGGAGGATATCAAGTTGTCATGATAAAATGACACTGTAGAAAAATGATTTATCATGAGAGGAAAAAGCGTGTATTGGCATCTGAAACTTCCAATTATTATCACAAAAGAAGGCAGTGCTGCTGTTAGTTTCCAATAAAATTAACGAGTTCCTAATCAATAAACTTTAGTTGAAATGGCTCACAACCTCACCTCCATAAAAAAGAGAACAGGTTTGAATCTCGAAAAGCGTATTTGTTAGGAGAGACGAATATCCTTTATGCTTTTAAGTCTCAAAAGAAAAACCTTTGATCAAATAAAAAAATAAAAATAAAATTGGCGGGGTCCTGAATGGCGTCCAAATATGTATATGCCACTGTATATTGACCTTTGCTGTTAGGCTATTATTTGCCATAAAAAACTGTTTGCAGCCCCCAACATGGGCTACCATATGTCACCACAAGTACATTCACCATTAAAAAATCTATGGTATCTGTTCACATCCCTCACAATTATGTCCCTTTCTAACACTCTTGTCATATACTTAAAAGCCTCATGGCAATCCTTGCAAATCCTCAAATTCTTAACAATCCTCAGTGGCTTCCCTGGTGGTGCACTCCCACTCAACACTCCAAATGCAACAGCCAGCTTCTCACTGTGACACCAAAGAGCTTTCTTCTTATTTTCTTCTCCAACGTTATGCAACATTTCGTCCCAAACAGGCACATATCCTAATTTTGTGATCTCTTCCATAAGCTCTTCCAACTTATGATAAATTTCCACAGATCTCTCATGCTTCCATTCTCCAGCCACAAACACATGAACTTTTCCTTGGACTTCAATCCAACTCCTCCCTCCTCTTTTTTTCACCTTACCATCTTTCATCCTCCATCTCACTTCTGCAACATCATCCCACCTTCCTGCTGCTGATAACACATTTGCTAAAATAACATAAGCTGTTTCATCTTGTGGTTCAATCTCTAATAACCGTGTAGCCATTGACCAAGCTTTGTCAGCTGCACCATGAATAGCACAAGCTGATAGCAAAGCTCGCCACACAGCAGCATCTGCTTTAAATGGCATTGTCAATGCTATTCGCTCTGCCTGCTCTAATTTCCCAGCACGGCCCATTGCACCCACCAAACATGTATAATGCTCCAATGTCGGTTCCAAACCATATTCTTCTTTCATCCTTTTCAGCCAGTCCTCAGTCTCAAGATACATTCTAGCATTAAAAAGTGATGTAAGTATTGCAAGAAAACTATATTCGTCTGGAATAAGCCCTTGAGCTTCCATTAAATTGAAAAGCTCAAAGGTTGAATCACGATCTCCGTGTTGTGCATAACCTGCCATCAATGCATTCCAGCACACGATGTTCATATTAGGCAAGTTATCATCAAAGACCTGTCGGGCATCTTGAACAATACCAGCTTTACTATAGCCATCAATAAGGCCACTGCCAACTACCACGTAAGAATCAAATGCTGTAACAACCGTATGTGCATGTATTATCTTGCACTGCTCCAATGCCGCCAACTCTGCAGCAGCACGAAGAGCACCAGAAATGCTGTACATGGTAGAAGAAACATCACAAGACCTCATGCCAGCAAAACGACAAAATGAATCGAGAATCGAAATGACCTGCAGACATCGTGAATTTGAGCAAGACCCAAATGACACAGAATAGCAAACATTGTCTTTCTGCGAATTTCATCAAACACCTTGCGTGCCTCATCGGGCATGCGGCATTTCGAGTAGAAGTTGATGAGAGCAGACCCCGCAAAGGGCTCTTCAGATAAACAGAGCTTGAGAGAGAGACAATGGAGACAAGGCCAAAGGGCAAGCAAGAAAATGAAGCACAGGTTTTGAAGAGGGAAGCCAAAGCACGTTGGTTAGGAAGGGTAGGATGACGAAGCATGGAAACAAAATGGTGGAGAGCAAAAGGGTGTTGGAGGAAGCAGATAAGAGAGGTCCATGAGACAATGTTGGGACGAGGGATTTGGTGAAAGAGACGACGGGGGTAAGATAAGAGATTGGACTTGGAGTAGAGAGTGATGAGGTTATTGAACAAAGAAGTCTCGAATTAGAGGCTTTAATGGCTCGAGCATGTACAATGCGAGGATCCAAGTTGGCAGGCAGGAGGCTCTGAGGCCACGGTGAAGTCTGCAGCCGCGGGGTGGTATTGAGGAGATTGTGGTGTATATTACGCTCCATTAAAGGAAGCCTGAGGAAGAGGGAAAGCTATAAAGTGACAACCTCGAATCGCGGGAAATACATCTAAGTCGGGCCAATACATCTAAGTTCGGTGTCTTGTTCTCATGTACAGTGGTTGTTTAGATGAAATCAAACCGTAGTTTAAAAAAGTGATTCTGGAGAATAGATTTTGGAGAGAATAGATTCTGTAAAAATAGATTTTTTGGATAGTTGTTATCAGAAGCACTTTTTACTATACAAATTACTAAAAAGATATAAGTTATTATGATAATTACAGAAAAAATAGATTTTATGATATATTTTAATTTGAAGGAATAAAATTGTTAATAATTATTTTTTTACCAACATAATTAATAATACATAAGATAATATAATTAATAATTAATTAATGTGATATATATTTATAAAATATAAGATTAAATATGTTTTCAAAAATATGTTTATAAAAAATAACAAGATACATATCATATAGGCTCTCACACTCTCTCTTTTTCTCCAAAAGCAAAAAAATTTTGCTTTTTCCAAAACCATGGTTTTGGTTTTTAGAGGGGGTGTTTGGGTGATTGACACCCAAACACACCCTATATTGAAATGAAAAGGAACAAAAATTTCTTTGTTTGATAAATCTTGAAATCAAAGGATTAAAAAAATTGCAGCTGTTATCACGACAGAGAAGACGTACGTTTTTCTGAAGATCACCAACAGCTTTTGATGAATTGAAGAATGTGAGAAGGATCAAGTGATCCTTCTCTCCCTTCTTCCCTCTCTCATGCGTATCTCTCCTCTGTATTTCACTCTATCTCCTTCTCCTTCAATCCTCCTCCTTGCTCCCAACCTTCAATTTCTCACTTTAGCATTTCGTCATCTAATGCTCGCCTCTATCATCATTGCTTCTGTTCATCTCTGTCTTTTGTGCTTTGCTCAAGCCCTGTGTCTCCACGGTCACAGCACAAAGGAACGAGCTCCTCCATCCCCTCTCAACTCCCCAGTCTCCAGTCTCCACTCTCAGTGAAATGGAGGGTTGCAAAATGGGCCGAAACATGAGGCTTGCTGAAGGAATTGAAAGACGACGCGCAGCGGAAAAACTTAAAATTTTAAAACTTTCAATCCCTTGCCCGGATCTACCGATCATGTTTAAGTTAGGTAGTAAGAAGTATTACCTTCGGTGTTCGGTTTCCGAGTGGCTCGGTGATTCCACCATTCAGGATGCCTCTGCTCGCCTCCTTTATCGTTCGAAGTCGACAACTCCGGTCGGCTTCCTCTACCGGTATCCACACGAATAGCTCTCCGGTTACAGACGGCTTGCTAGCGCCCTTTTGTTCGTCTAGGGTTTTCAGAGAATCCGTCCACTCTTATCTCTCTTAGGCCGTCTCTTATCTGTTGGTACTCTCACGCCTAAAAACCCTAGCTCCTCATATCAAATATATAGGATGCTATAGGTTTAATGAATAATATTTAATTTCGAAATTAACTCTAAATTAATTCCGAAATTAATACAATATCAAATATTGCCTAATCAGATAAGAGAACAATTAAATAAATATGGTTTAAATTAAATCCGTCTCACAGATTTCACCTATTTATTTAATAAAGAGATGACGAAATTAATTTATATATATATTTAATTTATCCTTATAAATTAAATCTAACAATTAATATCTCTTATATTTATATAATATATATATGAATTTATATATATATACACGTCCACCCTATATTATTCATTGAATCTGGACATATCTTAGATTCAATGAATCTGGACATCATAACTCGTGTTGGGCTATTTTGTATGCGACCCTGTAGGCCCATATGAAGTTGGCAGTGAGCCATTAACTATAATGACTCACAAGTCATAAGCGGTCTCTAGCAAGACATCACGACTACCCAAATCATATGAGGATCGTTGAACGATGTAACCTTTCATACAACCATATCACGTCCCTTTTGTCACATGACATTTTGGTCATGGATGAGGCATGGAGAACGTCATCCTCCTATTCATGACCGTTACTTTCTCGATCCTTGAGTAATCTGAGTATAGAAACGGAACTACCTTTCCATTATAGTATGGCCATACATTTCTCAGACTCACTCATCGAGGGGCCCAGTAATGTCTCTCTACGAATGTGAGGGACAAATTCCATCTTGACCATTCACATTCCTCCGCATGAAAAAAACCACTAAGCCTGAACATAGTCTTTATGATCACTCGATCAAAAGTGACTTTTGACTAGGTCAAAGCTAAGCGTTTCTCATGTATGAATCCATGATGATCTCAGGTCAAAGGGCACAGTGACATGATTTGTATATGAGAGAAGCTTATGACTCAACCCATGCAGCTCTCTCATAGCGGGTCGGTCCAACACCTTGTACTCTTACATGTGCCTATGACTTTAATTTATATCTCTATATATCTTTAAAGTCATACTAGTCTTATTTCATCTTTACTCCCACATAGATGACCGACCAGGGACATTTAGGATAAACCATGAGTTATCCAAGGATAGTCATCACAGTAAACATGCAAATAATATGATAACGTAATTAATAAATTCATAAATTAACAATATTCAAAACATAATGATTGGCCCCTATGGCACAATTTCCAATACTTGCATGCTCTATATGCCCGCTTGAATTGGAAAAAAAAAAAAAAGAAGCTTAACCTAGTCCAACAAAAAAATGCCCGAACAAATCTTCGGGTCAAGTTAATTCACGGGCTGTGCTGCAAGCAAGCATACAGCTCTGCTTATTTAGCCCTGCATAAAAATATATCTAATTATATATATTATAATGTATAATATAATATTAATTTCAGCCATTATTCCCTTTTATTTTGTCTAAAAAAATAGGTAAATTTTGAAAACAAAATGAAATGAAGATAAAATTATAATTATATAAAAGAAACAAATATCAAAGTATAATTAAACATGTTAAATTGCTCCTAGTGAAATTTTCTTCTTTCACTGCTACCTCCAATTGTTTTGGACCCAAAAAAATAAATAAACAAAACCACCTTTCAAATCTTGTGATTTCACATGGTTTTAATAATCTATCAACTATATGAATGAACTAAAGAATTAGCTTAGTTATCAAATGTTTTAATTATTGACTGATTTTTTTACCTACTATAAGAAATCGAAGGCTGCTGACCAAGACTAAATAAGCCTTGCATATACGAATGATTGAGTCATTTCGTGGTAACTTCTTTTCCTCTCACCTTGTCCCAAAGCATAATAATGAAGTTGTATGGTTAAAACTAAAAATGATAAATCATCCAAATACCCATATGTCAAATTCATGCATTTATCTTTTCATGTTATCTCTTTCACCCTATTAACGTTTACTTCCGATCCCTTCAATATATATTTGGATGTTTATGGTTGCATTGAAGTAAAGAAAAGAAAGTTATAGTTTTATTTGTCTGAAAAAAATGAGGGTAGGAGAAATAGAAAAAAAAAAAAAGAGGGATAACTTAGTATTTTAAATTTATATTTTTATATTTGATCTTTCAAAATGGTTATAATTTTTATGAGTTTATCAATTATAATTGAATTTTTTTTATCACATGTGATATGGACAATATGTCACTAATTTGGGTAGAAAAGCTCACCCTGCCTTACCCGTCCTTATCCAATCTAAAATGGTTAGTATTTCTACTGACCCACTCATCTTTTAAGCTGGGAATTGGGTTGAGGCTTGACTTACTCAACCTTGCCATGTGCAGTCCTATGTCATTTTATTAGTATTTTTTGGCTGGAAATTGTCATGTCATTTATTAAGACTATAAAACATATTTTTTGTATTTATGAAACTATTTTCATTCTATTTTATTCAAAGTGTATATAAATGTGTTTTTGGACGAAAATAAAAGGGAACCAATTCATGATAAATTTATTTTAGGGGTTTACTAGTTGGATTTGAGTTTTGTTGATTTGTTTCTATGAAACAAACAGGCTTATATACCAACAATAATGATGCCTAATTGGTTAATTGAAGCGCAACGCGATAAACAAGGAGGAGGAGAATTTGAGAATAAAACAGAAAACTGAGGATGGAAGGAGGAGGGAACGCTAGGGAAGAAGCAGTAGTGGCTGGTTTTCAAGAGAATAAGATCCCACGGCGAATGAAACAATGGCGCTGTGGATAAGGGTCACCGGAGCTATCAAAGACAAAGGCAGCATCTGGGTCGCCAAGTTCGCTCCGGCCACCATCCTCCGGAACCCTGTTCTCGAGACGGCCGTCATCAAGGCCACCAGCCACGATGAGCATCATATCGACTACAAGAACGTCGAGCGAGTCATGCAATGGCTCGCCGCCTCGCCCTTGCATCTCAAACCTCTCGTTTTCAGTCTCTCCTTGCGCATGAAGAAGACGCGAAGCTGGCCCGTCGCTCTCAAGGGCCTAATGCTCATGCATGGAATTTTCTGTTGTGAGATCCCGGCCCTGCAAAAAATCGGACGCTTGCCTTTCGATCTCTCCGATTTCACCGATCGCCATTCCAAATCTGATAAGGTGTGGGCTTACAATGCCTTCGTTCGTTCGTATTTTACGTATTTGGATCAGAGATCGGCGTTTGTGTCGTCTCAGTACCAAAGGAGAAGCAAACAGAGGAAGGAAATCGAGGACACGTTGATGCAGGAACTGGAGAAATTGCAGAAGATGCAAACCCTAATTGATACATTACTTGAGATCAGGCCTCTGAACGAGCGAATGAGCAGCGTGGCCCTCATTCTGGAAGCCATGGATTGTGTTGTGGTTGAGCTTTCTGATCTGTACGGTAAATTCTGCCGAGAGATGTCTCGAATTCTGTTGAGAATTTATGACATGGGAGGGAAAATGGAAGCCAGTGTAGGACTTCGTGTTGTGCAGAAAGCTGCAATACAAGGGGAAGAACTTGCTTCTTACTTTGAGTCATGCAGAGAAATGGGGGTAGTCCATGCCTCTCGGAGCCCTAAAATCGAACGAATCTCTGAAGAAAACATTCGAACTCTGGAGCGAATGGCCAATGGGGATCACGAGAAGATGACGAAGATGATGACGACGACGAAGGTTGAAGATGAGGGGGAGAAAAATAATAACCAGGAGAAGGCGATAGTACTACTATCAAACGAAGGTTCAGGAACAGTGATCACTGAGAAATGGGAGGTATTTGAGGACGATGACGCATCTTTGAATGATGGAAATAGTATTATTTCAACATCAACCAACCCTTTTCTTGATGATTCGTACAGCCTAGTACCTTATAATCCACCTCACAATCAAGTTCTTCCAGATTTAATTACTTTCTAGGCGTTCGATCCATATAAGGTGGTCCTTCTTCCCTTTTCTCAAGACATAGCATACAACACACAAAAATGTTGAAACAAGGTGAGATGATATCTAGCTTTTCAAGTATTATAATATATATTATATATGTTATATACACCATAGTTAGCAATTTAATGAAACACCATGTTTCATCATTGTGTCCCCATTTTGATCACAAGGCTGGCTCTATATTGAGTGTTTGATATAGATAAAACTCACGTCATGGAATAAGACTTTAAATTTTGAAAATTTTCAGAAAAAATCATATAAAAATATAAAATTTTAACCACCTGGATGCTCATCAATTGGCAATTTTTAAACATGTTATAAATTCTTGTTTAATCGGACCACTTATTTAAAGCATTCTATTGTAATTGTAATTGTTTTGATTCAGGGTCTTTTGTTATTATATATAGCCTTTAAAAGATTAATATCACACAATTTATGTAAAAAAAATCAATGTTTTGAGGGGATGTGAATCGTGAAGTGTTTGTTCTCTTCTCCAACTTCTTAGTTTTATTAGGCTTTCTAATTTTTTAAATAGCTTTATGGCTAAACTATAGTTTTGCAGTTTTGCTTCTTTATTAATCTTACGTGAAAAGTTTTACTTTCCTTTATTAACTTTGTTTATTTTCAATTTGGACTCTGTTTTTTCCCCCCTAGCGTTGGTCTCTTGATATTTTATTGAGTCAGTTTTTATTTGATACTCCAATTTAATCTCTTAATTTTATCTCGAGTAGTTTTACTTTCATCCTTTAAATTTAATTGCTTCTCTAATCCATTTTTTTTTTTAAAATTATTATATATGTTTATCTTTTGTCTTTTTGCTTAATGCTTTATTTTTAATTTTATGGTTGAATCACAGAGAGTATTTTAATTTAGTAGCGTTAGAAAACGTTTAAGTGCTTTTAAAAATAATGATTAAATTATAACAAAATATAATGGATAAATAAAAATAAGCATGAGATGAAATTATGTTATCTATAGCAAGCAATTAAGTAAATTAAGGAACAACGGTGAAATTTAAACTAAAAATAAGAATACAAATTAAATAAAAAGAATGAAATAAAGGGATGAAAATGAGATACAAGAAAACGGAAGGAGAAAAGTGGAGTTAATTCAATAAAATTGAAGGAGGAAAATAAAATGTCAAATACAATGAAGAAATTCTAAACGTTTGAAACTGAATTCCCTCTTCTTCTTTTTTAATCTGATAATAACTGACCTTCCTCTCCAATTTTTTAATTTTTTGAAGAAAAGGCAAAATAATATATTAAAATCAACGAAGTTTACAAAGTACTAAAAGAAGAAGAAAAAGACTGTACTTCAAATAGCTAGAAAATACATGAAAAGAAATTGATTTGATAGAAAAAACATGAAAATCATGGAGAAGAACTAGAATGTTTTGCCATGCGATCGTTGAAGACTAGTGGTGATAAGCTACCTTCAGGGTGAAAGAGACTTTATCAACTCAAAGAAGAGTTAAAACATGTTGCTCTTCCCATTTGCTTATATCAGAGTTATGAATCCAAAGCAGAAAAGCTCTCAGGCAGCCAAATAAGAATGGTAGACCAGGCTCAGTAGTATTCTCCCATAAAAATTCTGTTAAAATAGATCCTTGCCAAGAAATGACACATTGACAAAAATGCTTTTTGAGACGCTTAACCTTGCGAATGATAATGCTCCAGTCTGCCAGATTTCTCAAATCGTCTCTAGACATTAAAATAGAAATGTGGTGTGCAAAGATAGAATTTGATGGTTTTTCAAAGGCCATGTAAGTAAGGCCAAAGGAGTCATTGACTTCTCTTATCACCGTAAGAGGATCATCAATCTTATCAACATCAACCAACCCTTTTCTTGATGATTCGTATAGCCTAGTACCTTATAATCCACCTCACAATCAAGTTCTTCCAGATTTAGTTACTTTCTAGGCGTTCGATCCATATAAGGTGGTTCTTCTTCCTTTTCTTAAGACATAGCATGCAACACAAAAAAATGTTGAAACAAGATGATATCTAGCTTTTCAAGTGTTGTTTCATTAAATTGCTAACTACGGTGTATATAACATAATATATATATATATATATATTATATGTTATATACACCGTAGTTAGCAATTTAATGAAACACCATGTTTCATCATTGTCTCCCCATTTTGATCAGAAGGCTGGCTCTATATTGAGTGTTTGATATAGATAAAACTCATGTCATGGAATAAGACTCTAAATTTTGAAAATATTCAGAAAAATCATATAAAAATATAAAATTTTAACCACCTGGGTGCTCATCAATTTGCAATTTTTAAACATGCTATAAATTCTTGTTTAATTGGACCACTTATTTAAAGCATTCTATTGTAATTGTAATTGTTTTGATTCAGGGTCTTTTGTTATTATATATAGCCTTTAAAAGATTAATATCGCACAATTATGTAAAAAAAAAAAATCAATGTTTTGAGGGGATGTGAATCGTGAACTATTTGTTCTCTTCTCCAACTTCTTACTTTTTATTAGGCTTTTTAATATTTTTAATAGTTTTATGGCTAAACTATGGTTTTGCAGTTTTGCTTCTTTATTAATCTTACATGAAAGGTTTTACTTTTCTTTATTAACTTTATTTATTTTCAATTTGGTCTCTCTCTTCTTTTTTTTCCTAGCCTTTGTCTCTTGATATTTTATTGAGTTAGTTTTTATTTGATACACTAATTTAATCTATTAATTTTACGTCGAGTAGTTTTACTTTTATCCTTTAAATTTAATTGCTTCTCTAATCCATTTTTTCAAAAAATTATTATATGTGTTAAGCTTTTGTCCTTTTGGTTAATGCTTTATTTTTAAATGAGTAAAATACTTGGATTATCCTTTTAATTTCCATCAATTACACAAATCTTTCTTTTATTTTAAAAACATACCGTTTAGTTTAATTAGTTAATATCAAAAAGAATATTCTAAAAAAATTCTAAAAATATTATTTTTAACTGAAATTTATATTAAAATAAATTTTATTTACTATTTTACCCCTCATCCGAATAAATTCCCAAATTATATTTTTACCGTGACATGAATTTCATTCAATTAAGACAAACACAAAAAACTTGATTAAAAATTTAATTAATTTTTTTAATAAATATATATATACTTGACTAAATATGTTTATAATTTTTTAGTAACAAAAAGATGTGTTTAAAAGTTTTGAATTATAAATTTAAATAATTTATAAAATCTTTCAAATTTATATCATTTAAATTTTATGATAAACAAAAAATTCTATATTTGAAATATGTTTTTAAAATTTAAAAGAAATCAAAGTAAATAATTTATTATGAATATAATAAAATATTAAAATTATAAAATTTTATGATTTAGATCAAAATTAATAAATTTTATAACATATTACAAATTTTAAAAGTATATGTATTAGAATTATTTTTTAATTTTATAATAAATATTTTTTAGAAAATATAAATGTTTAAATAATTATAAGTTAAAAGGGGGCATGTTGATAAAAAAATAATTTAAAATCAAACTTAACAGTTAACTAACAGTATAAGTGGATAAAAATAGAATATTAAATATAGGGAAAGGTTTGTGTAACATACGTTTTAATTGTAAGGAAGGTTTATATATAGTTTCAAAATAGATTAAAGATTTTTGTAATTAAAATAAAATAAAAAAGTGACCGGTGTATTTTACTTTTTTACATTTTATGGTTGAATCGCATAGAATATTTTAATCTAGTAGCGTTAGAAAAAGTTTAAGCGTTTTTAAAAATAATGATTAAATTATAACAAAATATAATGGATAAATAAAACATAAGCATGAGATAAAAGCAAGCAATTAAGTCAATTAAGGAACAATGATGAAATTCAAAGTAAAAATAAGGATACAAATTAAAACAAAAAATGAAATAAAGGGATGAAAATGAGATACAAGAAAATGGAAGAAGAGGGGAGTTAATTAAATAAAATTGAAGGAGGAAAATAAAATGTCAAATACAATGATCAGATTCTAAACTTCTAAAACTGAATTCCCTCAATTTTTTTTTTATATGATCATAATTAACCTTCCTCTCCAACTGCTCCTTCCAACTGTAAATTGAATGGCACTTCAATTTCAGCTCCAATCTTCAACAGCTTTATCTGAGTCATTGTCAACCTCATTGGTCTTGCTTCTCTTGTAAAACTTGGTCTTCCATCTAATCCGTTTACATCATCACCAATTGTATTCTACTGGATTTATCTAATCTAATTTCACCTTCAATCTTCATGAATTCCAACTGTTTTTGGAAATATGATGAACTCTCAAGAAATTGTTGATCTTAGCATTAATAAGCTTGCAGACGAAATCCCATCACTGAATTTCATTTCACAAATCTCTCCAATTTGAAGAGTAGTTAACAAGTTTGGACGTGGCTTCATGTATATATGCTGGGTCCTGGTTTTCCAATGTGCTTTAAGATAATTACTTAAAAGGGCATATATTTAAGAGAGTAAATAAAACTATAATATAGGATTAATTAGGATTTTTAGTGGAATTAATTTTACCTTCAAAATTAAGTTCATACTTCAACTCAAAAGCATCAATGTGCGTGCAAACATAATCCATTCTGATTGACCCCAATCTAATTGCATACGCAATTACAAAAAGGTTGCCTTTTTTCTTTCCATTTATAATTTTTAAATCTTTAACTTTATTTAGGAAGAATTGAATCTCTTTTAATACAATCACCCACAATAATAACAGGTTGATCCTTTCCGTCTGTTTTTTATATTTTCAATTTTCATCTTCTACGTATATCTTTCCTATTTCCTATGTGAAATGACGTCTGCAACTACTGATTGAAACGTTTCAGACAGGATAAACATGCTTAAAATTCCGACGTAAATTGCTTTCATTGCTCATAAAACCATCAATTATCCTCATTCATGACCATAAAGAGGCAATAATGAGATTCCCAGGATATATATAACCCTCTTATTCCTTCATCTTCTTCACCCCAACTCACAAGGACAGAAACAGAGCATGAAGATGGTCGAATGCAAATCGCACTCTCTTTTCTCCATCTTTTTCTGTTTTCTTCTGTTCATCCTTCTGAGTCCTTCATCTTCCCTTGCAAACCATGCATCAGAACTAGTAAAGGAGGTATGTACTCAAACTTCAAATTACACATTTTGTGTTAAGTCCCTCTATTCTGATCCACATACCCCAGAATCAGACAGCTATGGCCTGGCCGTCATTGCCTTTCGCTTGGCTTACATCAATGCCACAAGCACCAGAAATCACATACTGAAATTGCTGAAGAAAGCCTCCTCTTCTAATTCGTCCATCTGAAGGAATCTTCGGAGATGTGCTGGAGACTATCACAAGGCTGTCTCTGCCATTGAAACTGCTTACAATGACTTGAACTCTGAGACCTTCTTTGAATTGGCTGATTTGGCTGGGGTTGCTGCTCATTCCGCTGAAGATTGCCAAGCTACTTACAAAGGAACACATAATTCTCCGTTGACATCTTTGAATAAGGCTTTGAAGGGTCTTTGTGAAATATGTGTGGTTATCTCTAAACGCTTCACTGGATCCTAATCTTCGGTTGTCTCACTCTTTCCAGTGTATAAGATGTCCTGTTTTGTGAGCGCTGAGATAATTATATTAACACAGTTTGTTCCCAATTCTCAGTTTTTGTTTACAATTTTCATGAATTGCATCTCCATTCACACTGGGTTAAGTGAATTCATGGAGCAATTTGTTGTTCGAAAGTCGAATTTGTAACAGAATATTTTAAACTGGTGGAAGAATTTGCTCTGTTGGAAGAAGAAACTCAACAAATCGTGTAGTATTCAGGATAAATCCTGCATTGCAGTAGTGGAAGAACCCTTCTGCCCAAACTTCAACTACGAAAACATAAAAATATGAATGTGTTGCTTTCTGATTCGGTCTAGAGACTTAAATAGACTAGACTAAAATAACCAGAGAGAATAAAGATTGTAATGGCACATGGAGACAATTTGTTGGGCTCTGTTCTGTCACCTGTGCAGTAATGAATTGAGAGGGCCAAAGGATCATCATGAAAAATGACCAACACATTTAGATAGATGCCTCCCAGAAAACTTTTTTAACTGAAATGGCTTATTTAATAGATCTAATATTCTGATTTTATATCTCAGTTGATTACTACAATGGTTGAACTGGTTCAATACTAACCTGGCAGTAAACAAAATAACAAATGGAGAAAGTGATTGAAAAACTAGGCAATAGAAACTCATTAACAGATTTAGAGAAAATCTTACAAGCCTCATCATCTTAATTCACTTATCATATTTATAGACAATGATATGATAATTTCAAGCACTGTTGCTGCTTCCATCTGCTGATACAGGCATCAACTCTCTCAGCATGGCCACTACCTGCAGCATGTTTGGCCTCTTGGAAGCAAAGTCATCAACACATTGTAATGTTACCTCTAAATACCTGATCATCTCTTTCACCTCTTTAACTTCTGCTTCATCTGTTCCTTTAGTCACCAAAAGTAAATCAGGGTCTATCACTTCCCTCTGTTTCCCTTCACGCACCTTCATTTTGGCCCATCCCACCAAGTTAGTGTCACCAAAGTCCTCCTTATCAGTAGGGCGCTTCCCGGAAAGAAGTTCCAGCATGACAACCCCAAAGGAGTAGACATCACCCTTCGCAGTGCACCGGAAACTTTGGTAGTACTCTGGTGGAACGTATCCAGGTGTTCCTGCTAGTGTGCTAACACTTAGATGGGTGTCAAGTGCACTTATTAGTCTTGCCATTCCAAAGTCTGAAACTCTGGCTTCCATTTCATGGTCAAGCAGTACATTGCTTGATTTCATGTCTCTGTGTATTATGTGTGGGATGCAGTTGTGGTGTAGGAAACAAAGTCCTTTTGCAGCACCTCTTGCAATCTTCTTCCTTTCTTCCCATGTCAGAATTCGCCTATCTCGTGTCTTTGTTCTGCCATGGAGCATTTCTTCAAGGCTTCCATATTCCATGTACTCATAAACAAGCAGCCTCTCTTCACCAACTTTACAGTATCCCAATAAAGGGACAAGATTTCTATGCTTGATCTTCCCTAAGGTTTCCATCTCTGCCATGAATTCTCGATCACCTTGACAGCTCAATCGGATGAGCTTTTTTATTGCAACACTTGAACCATCCTTTAGTGTGGCCCTGAACACTTCTCCAAACCCACCACACCCAATGAGGCTAGCTGCTGAGAAGCCATTAGTTGCTTCAATCAATTGTGAGAACTTAAGCTTCCTCAGTTGCCTTTGAAATGTCGCCACATTAATGCTCAAGGGTTCTTTCTCCTTGTCTATTTTCCATGTTGTAGCTGCATGAGATGCTTGCAAGCTGCTAAGCATCTTAACTTCCTCGGCCTCCTTCCTCCTTGCACGCATTGCAATTGCCCACACAATCAAGATACACACAGAAGCGATGGAAATAAGAACTCCCATGACAATGCTATTTGCCCATGATCTTGCTGCTCCCTTATGGCTTTCTTTGTTGTCATCTGTGCTTGGATTTGCTGTTGGTTGGCTGTTATCGCTCTGACATTCAGGCAGTGGAACACCACAAAGTCCCGGGTTATTTGCATACTGGCTGGCTGGAAGAGTACTTAGTTGTCCTCTAGACGGAATTTGCCCAGTTAACTCATTGTAAGACAGATCAATCTGTACCAGAAACGAAAGGTTTGAGAATGAATCTGGGATATGACCTTGCAGCCTATTATGTGATGCATCAAAGACGCCTAAGTTCTTAAGCTGGCCAAGTGACGAGGGGATCTCTGCTGATAACTGGTTGTGAGACAATTCAAGAACCTGTAAGGCCACCATGTCCCCGAATTCTTCTGGGATTCTTCCCCGAAGCTCATTGTATGAAAGATCTAGATACTCCAAAGTCTGGTACTTGGTAAAATAACTCAGAACTGGACCAGAATACAATCTGGTGAAATCACAAGTCCTCAATGTTGGCACCTGCTGAAGTCTTTCTGGTCTAATTCCAGAAAACTCTAACAAACCTCCAACTCCTTTGCATGAGTTCCCCACATTTCTTACAAACACTAGTGTGTTGCCTGAAAGAATCCCAAACAATGATTTTGCCCCAAGTTGCCTGCCAAGTCTTGGTGGGATCTCCCCAGTGAGTTTGTTACTGTTTAAGTCCAGCCACACCAAACTGTTACAATTTGCTAGCTCTCCTGGTATCTCACCTGTCAAGCTGTTGTTTCCAAGTTGCAAAACTGCTAACCGAGTCAACTGGCCAAATTCACGTGGTATTTGACCAGTGAGTCCGTTACTTGTCAGTGAAATCCATTCAAGATTGCTGCAATTGAATAACTCAACAGGAATCTCACCACTTAGCTGATTATTATTCAGTATAAGATCCTTCAGACTTTTGCATTTACCTAATTCTGGTGGGATTTTTCCTTCCAACATATTGAACCATGCTATCAACTGCTGAAGATTCTCAAGTTGTCCAAGCTCTGGAGGGATTGAGCCATTGAGATAATTCAGACTAAAATCAATTGTCTTCAACTGTGAACATTTGGATAGCTCAGCGGGAATTTCTCCTGTGATGAGATTATCTGGCATTCTAATCTGCTCCAGTGATGCTGCCCCTGGACATATATCTCGAGGAATAAATCCTGAGATTTTGTTAGAGCTCAAGTCCAAAATCCTCAAATTTTTGCATGATGATATTGAAGAAGGAAACGGTCCTGAGATAGCATTGTTTCCCAAATGCACTTCCTGAATGGATTGTAGGTTCTGAAAGATTTTATCTGGTAATGGCCCTGACATATTGTTGTTAGATATGTCAAGATACTGCAGGCTAGAGCAAGAAGAAAAGGTAGGTGGAATTGAACCCGAAATGTTGTTGAAGGCAAATCTTAGTTCTTTAAGGTTAGCACACATGTTTCCCAACTCAAAAGGAATCCAACCAGTGATCTGATTATAAGAAAGATCAATTGTCTCTAGGTCGGTAAGCTGTCCCAGAGATTTTGGAATTTCCCCTGAAATCAGATTATGTGCTAAACTCAAAGTCTTAAGACTGGTACAGTTTGACAAGGAAAACGGGATTGAATCAAATAAATGGTTCCCAGAAAGATCAAGAAACAACAAGGAATTGCACTCGATTTTCAAGTTTGAAATCGACCCTGTCAAATTGTTTGAAGAGATATCGAGATTCTGAAGCTTATCAGAATTCTGCAAGAAATTGTCAGGCACAGGACCTGTCAAGTTGTTGTAAGAAAGATTGACAATGACAAGATTAGGACACTTTGAGAAAAAATTCTCAGGGAGAGGACCTGAAACCCCAGTAAAGGACAGATCAAGCTGTGTCAGACTATAGGGAAGGTCAAGCAGAGAAGTGGAATTTACAGGGAAAGAGTTCAAATGCAAATTCAGCACAGACAACATATCTAAAGAGGACAAGGAACTGAAAGAAGTCCCAACCAGATTCTTATCACTAAGATCAAGCTGAGTGACACGTCTGGCAGTGCAGGAAACACCATACCAGGTACAAGGATCTCTGCTGAGCTGCCACGTGGACAAGACTCTATCAGGGTCCTTCTGGATCGTCTTCTTGAACATGAGAAGAGCCTGTGCATCAGTCTTGAGGGATGATGAAGCTGGGAGTTGATGGGTGAGAGGGAACGAAAGAGAGGTGATGAGAAATAGAAGTGTGAGAGCGTGATAGGGAAAAAGCTGAAGCGGGAGGTTCTCCATGGGGAAAAGCCAAGCTTGAACAAAGCCAGAACACAACACAACTCACACACACAGAGGTCTGGGATTCTAAGGGGATAGACCTGAAAAGATATGGCAGAGAGAGAGAGAGAGAGAGAGAGTGGTGGGTGATTGTGGCGAGAATGATGAGAATGTGTTGTGGAAAAGGAGAAGGGTGGCCTTTAGGAAAAGAAGTTGCTTTGATGTATTTTAAAAAAAATGAAAAAGGAGGGAACGTGAGAAGGGATAGAATATCAGAGGAAAGAACTGTACAGGGAAATTGGATATTGAAATCTAGCTTTCCTCCGCGCATATTTGTATAAAGTACTGGTATTTAGATTACTGGGATCAAATTTCAACATTGAGAATTCAATTATAATGGTGATGGATGAGTGAAAAAGCGACAGTCCAAATTATACAAAGACTGAGATACTGATACGTTATGCTTCCAAGTTGGTATGAGCTGAGAAAACATTTGCAGATTGAGAGGGAGGGATTTGAGGAGAAATTGAGGCGATGGTCAAAAAGAAAAGAGATGGGGACCCACCCAAGGAGAAAGATGGCCGCTATATATATATATAGACACACACACACAGATATCTAAAGGGCAAAACAAAAACAAAATCGAGAAACAGTGATGTGTTGTGTTTTTGTAGAGTACTAGAGGCGCTTTGCTTTGTTGCTTGATCCAAGGAGTCGCTGTCGCTGTCAGTGAGCGTGAGAGAATGTTTCCCCTTTTGTGCCTTACACTATATATATATATATATATATATATATATATATATATATATATATTCATATGACACCTCCTCGTCTGTACTCTGCTTAGCTTTGTTATTTATTTATAGAATAAGAGTGTTAAAGGGACATCATATTTCACACAATGTTGCCCCATATGCATATATATCTCCGCTTATTTTCATACTTCAAACTCTCTTCTCTTCCTTCCTCATTTATATTTATTTGCACACGCATGGCTTTCCCTTCCCACCCAATTATTGCCTGAATCTCTCTTTGATTCTCTTGCTTCCCTATCCATCATGCCCTTACATTTATATCATTATTCATAAGATTTCATACAACTCCTCCTGTTATTTATAACTCTGCTTGTGTTTCTGTATATCTATTTTAATTTGATTATTATTTTCCTTCTTACCTTGTATATTACAGAGTGTATTTGTACCCAAAAAAATCTTCAGTGAAATTGATTTTGAATGAGTGAAGAAAGGTGAGGCATAGGGTGAGGGGCCCAAGAAAAGAGGGAAAGAGGGGAATCAATGATAGTGAGCTATGGTTGAGAGGTAAATAATAAATAAAAGAATGAATTGAATACCAATAATAATAATAATTATTAATAATAAAATGAAGAGTAGTAAAGTAAACACAAAGAAAGGGAAGGGAGGGGTCCACCATGAAGGAACAACATCAATTAGCCCCTCTGTTGTTGCCATGCGCTGTTATCATTAATCAATGCATCCCCCCATTTTGCTTTCTCATTGCCTTGTAATCACAATTCTTAATTAATTATAATATGTCACCAAAATTCTTATTGCTTTCTCTCAGGTTTTTTGTTCCTTTATATAAATCATATATTCCATTTTACATTCTTACTGGCTTCCCATGTTCTTGCTTATAATTCCCATCTGTCTCTGCACAATCCTCATTTGCAACGGGATTAGTAAAATAGAAAAAATTACCTAAAAATATCTCTTTGCAAATTTATTAGGGTAAAGGTGGATCTAACACTCTAGTCTTATTTTTTAGGTGTACTCAGCTCTCTAATCTTATTTTCTTAATCCATTCAACACTTTAATATTATTTAGCTAGATGCACAAAAAATAAGATCAGAATATTGGATGTACTTAAAAAAATAAGATCCAGGTATTAAATACAATTTTCTCCAATTTATTATCCACTCACATGAAGCATTATATCTTTAGCAGGTATCACTCTTCTTTAACTATGTACAACTTACTTTTGATTATGTGTAAAATAAAAAATATTTATGTATAAATAAAAATATATTATATGTAATTGCACCTGCCAAATAGAAGTCACACTCGCTCAACAACTAGAATTCTTGAATATCTTTGGGCAATAATTGTTTTCCAAATAATTTAGCTGTGTACATTCGAGTTTCACTCGAGTTAAAAGCACTAAAGCAGAGAACTTTACCAACTACTGCAAGCAAACAAATATATAATTATTGATTGCTGGGTATTTTGGATCCTTTCTCTCAACCTCGTTATTCCAATTTCGATGACGTAAAATATTACGCCATTTCAACATAATCCACCTTAGATTGCTCTCTACCATGTGTGTGTATGTATATATATGTATCTATGTATGTAAATGCACCCACTTTGGAGTCCTCAATCACTTTGGAGTCCTCGATCATTTTTGACTGTACTCAAAACTCAAAAGTGTGTTCAATTCCATTTGACTTCTTTCATTTAAAATTTTTTTTGTAAAGAGTAAAAACCAAAAAAGAAAACATGTAAACTTTTGAAGATAAAAACCACATCTTATAAGAAATATTTTTTTAATTTTTTCCTTACAACTAAAAGTTTCTATCTCGCAAATATTTTATTATATATGTATCAAATTTTTTAAATATTTTTTACCTAAAAAAAAATAGCCCTGACCAGACTGTTCCAGAAACAATATTATGACCACATATCTCACACTTTAAGTGTAGTGAAGTTAGTCTTGAATAGATAATTACAGCAACGTTAATTGATATTTGTCAGACAAAACCAAGCTTATTGAAATGTCATATATATATATATATATATATATATATATATTTCATCAAATGACAATCAATTGATTAATACGGTATGACTCTCAAAACCTTGAGATGTGCGCTTTCCAAATTAGTTCGATTGATGAAACAAATTTGTAAACAATACTACCTCCGTTGCTTAATGTAAAATCTCGTTTAATTTTTATTTTGGTCCTAAACATAAGACTACAATTCACTTTGTCTCTCATATTTATCTATTTTTTTCCAAGATAATTCTTGTACTAATAGTAGTTCTAACCAATAAACTTGATTAGCAAGGATATTCTAGGAAAGACAACACATATTTATTACAAGTAACTAACCTAACTTATTTTCTTAATCTATTCAAATTAGTCAACTAGCTCTTATATTTAGGACTGAACGTAATAACTCGTTTAACTTTTATTTTGCTCTTAAATATAAGATCTCAATCTATTTTGTCTGTTATAGTTATCCATTTTCGCTTAGAGTAATCTTCGAAATAATGGTAGTTACATTCTAACCAATACACTTAATTAGTAAGAATATTTTAAAAAAGACAACACATATTTATTATAAATAACTAACGTAACTAGTTTCTTTAATCTATTCAAATTAGTCAACTAACTCTTATATTAAGAACCAGAGATAGTATATTATTATTTTAATAGCAATTTTTTTAACAGATGGAGACGGCATAGTTAGGTGTTGGTGTATATTATTATTATCATTATTAAAACTTAAAAGGATTCCTTAATTGCTAGTTATTAGAACAATGATCTTACTTAATGACACAGACAAATAGTCCAAAATCAGGTTGTCTTCACAAGTGTTATATATAATATATCCACCACTTTACTGTAGCTTATTACCTAACTATTTTGTAATGTAAATCTAAATTCAAATATCCACGAGCAAAAATCACGTGAATATTGAAATAATGGACATTTTTTAACATTTAATAGTTGCTTCACTTTTATCCTAAACATTTTAAATTTTTCTTTTTAGGTTATTGTTGAAATTTAGTGGAGAACGATTCGTTTTGAATCGATACTGTCCAAAACAAAGATTAATTAATGATGACGTATTTTAAATTATCCCGGAGGAAGTTGATGTTGACTGAAAACGGGCTAAGTGAGTTACATGGGCTAATCCCAGACGCGTTGTAACACGCTAGCTCATATAACTCGCCTTGACCTGTGAATTGCAAATCGAAACCTAGTCAATGAGCCGACTCACTTAACTCGCCAAAAATAATAGATACAATAATTTAAATCATATATATATTTTTAACTTTCCACCATAATTTTACATTCATAATCCACCTAGCCTTCGTTTTCACATTATTTTATTATTATAAACACACGCATAATTGTTTTGGCCAAGTTAACAACCTAATTCATCGTTCTATAATATAATTAGGAGGAACACATGCAAAGGAAATGAGATTAAAAGGGAAGGATGGGGCAGGGGAGATAGGTTAGAGGAGTCAGGGTTTATTGGGATTATAGTTACAATTAATTTTATAACATTTGGATATATTAATTTAAATTTCAAGATATTATCTTTTTTCAAATATTATAATGAGTTAAAAGAGCTAATCCACTTAAATTTCGGGTCATATCAGAAAAGCTTTCCAAATTAAACGAAACATCAACTTAACTCACCTAGTCTTCAGAACTAGTTGACTAATTTGAGTATTAGCTAAAACTACCATTTGATGGAGCCTTTAACATGTGCAACTATACTGCAAGGATTACTTTGAAAAAAATAGAGAAATATAAGAAACAAAATAGATTGGAATATTATATTTAAGACCAAACTGAAAGTTAAACCAGCTCTTATATTAAGAATCGGAGGTAATGAATATGACGTTCAACTTATTCTGATGGCTCTAATTATAACTATTTATTTCTCAAGACCATGGAGGTTAAAATTAATCAATTGATGATTAAGTAATGACGTAGGTTTTGTATACTAATTGTCATCAATGTGTACGACAGTTCATTTTAATCAAGAAATTGTTTGAACCAGAAGATGGCTATTGGGATTAAAAACTTAGTTAAATACGAACGAAGAGCATGAGTGTCATTTAATATATGATCTCTAAATCCGGAGCTTTTTCTCGGCTCCTTTCTTTTTTTGGGGGGGGGGGGGGCATAAGTGATTTTATTTTCTTGGAAGAAAAATTCATTTATAGAAGAAATTTCACAAGAAAAATTTCATGCATCTGAACTATATAAATTTGACATTTTTCAAATTATTATCAATAATTTTTATGATAACTTAGATGGTCTTAGCTTCCTAATGAAGGC